TTTTTTGAGATAAGAGTCTCGCTCTGTCGCCCTCCGCCTCCCGGGCTCAAGTGATTCTCCTGCCTCAGTTTCCTGAGTAGCTGGGCGTGTGCCATCACGCCTGGCTAATTTTTTGTGTTTTTAGTAGAAACTGGGTTTCACTGTGTTAGCCAGGATGGTCTCCATCTCCTGACTTCGTGATCCACCCACCTAGGCCTCCCAAAGTGCTGGGATTACAGGCTTTGGCTCATAGTTTTCATTTTTGGATTAAAATGAGTTTCAAAGGTAACCGTGGAAAAACAGATACTGAAACCAGTCTGGTGGGTTCTGTGGAAAGGCAGTTCTCCTTTGCCTTGGTTAGAGTTGGAGGGCTTATTTGTCTGGAGACCAGATGGAGTGACATTTATTTTGTTTTTGCTTGTTTTTCCTCTTCTGTAGTCATTCTGTGTCTGCTGTGTCTGTTCTGTCTGTGGAAAGCCCTCTAATTCGGGGACTCCAGCTTGTGGGTTTATGTTTGGCTTTGCCCAAGAGACCGAGTTCTGGGTCTTAATACTTAGTGTAAACTCAATCCTGCATTAGTTTTTTTCCGTATGTAACAGATGAATCTTATATTTGCTTCATAGGAGTATTATTTATCGGAAGCGTTTTGATCTGTTCAAGAGAAAAATACCATTTGTTAGGGAATTTCTAAAGATTACCCAGAAGTAATTTGCTTTATTTCCTATTTCTGCTTCTTTGAATTAGCTTTAATTATACTCTAATGAGTTCCTTACTGTTTCCCAGCACCCTTCTGCTAATAGGAACTGGTTGGGTAGCGAAGAAGATCTATGCATGGAAGCAGAGGTTCTTTGCCTAGAGAACTATCTCCAGCTGCACTTGGACCTTTGGACTGACTCTGTCTTCAATACAATATTGCTGTCTTTACATGAGGATGAAGCATGAACTGGTACGTTGCGAGACCAATGGTATAAGATACTTCAATCAGAAGAACAAGTTTGTTGTTCTTCTGTACTTCCTCTCAAAAAAAAAAAAAAAAACGTATTAGCCAACTATGACATGGGCAGCTAGAAATAACTGAAAGAAAGTTCTTTGTGTCTCTAACAGTGGGTTTTTAGGTTAGTCCGTGGCTGTGCAAAAGTTTTATGGTATGTGAGAGAGGATTGGACTTAAAGATTTTGAATCCTTAAGAAAAGCTAAATCTAGGCCAGGTGCGGTGGCTTACGCCTGTAATCCCAGCACTTTGGGAGGCTGGGGTGGGCAGGTCACCTGAGGTTGGGAGTTCGAGACCAACCTAACTAACATGGAGAAACTTTACCCTATCTCTATTAAAAATACAAAATTAGCCAGGCATGGTGGCGCATGCCTGTAATCTCAGCTACTCAGGAGGCTAGGGCAGGAGAATCTCTTCAACCCGGGAGGCAGAGGTTGCAGTGAGCCAAGATCATGCCATTGCACCCCAGCCTGGGCAACAAGAGCAAAACTCCATTTCAAAAAAAGAAAAAGAAAAGAAAAGCTAATTTGTATTTGGAGATTATTTCTTATGATTTAGAGATTCATTTGTTCTATTTTATTTTATTTATTTATTTTGAGACAGAGTCTCACTCTGTTGCCCAGGCTGGAATGCAATAGCACGATCTCAGCTGACCGCAACCTCTGCCTCCCGGGTTCAGGTGATTCTCCTGCCTCATCCTCCCAATTAGCTGAGATTACAGGCACCTACCACCAACCCAGCTAATTTTTGTATTTTTAGTAAGGACAGAGTTTCACTTTGCTGGCCAGGCTGGTCTCAAACTCCTGACCCCATGATCTGCTCCCCTCAGCCTCCCAAAGTTCTGGGATTACTGGTGTGAGCCACCACGCCCAGCCTGTCCTACCCTTTAGACTGCAGCTAGGTCCAAATAAAAGATTAGTTCACTTTTTTTCATTAATCTTTGCTAATGATACTATTGTTACAAACTCCTTTCTGCCTTAGTTTCTCTTTTTGTAAAAGATAAACTTGTATTTCACTGGGTAAAATGTAAGTACTTGGGGCTCTGACATAATCAGCTTCCATTCATTCAATGAATATTTATGTGTTGGCATTCAGTATGCCAGGTCCAGTGCTGGAGAATCCAAAAATTTAAAAAGTTAATAAACCAGTTTCTATTGGGAGAAATGAGAAAGCTTGTATTTAAAATTCCTAATGAAAAATGCTGTGATGTAGAGACATGCAGAAGAAAGTATAAAAAGGGGACACCTAACTCAGCTGGGGATGAGGGGCAGCTGAGAAAGAAGAGGAATGTCAGCTGACAGGAGTTAGTTTAAAGCATGAGAGGTATTTCAGACAGAGGGCTCTGCAAGAATAAACATAGCCTGAGAAGAACATTTGGGGGACTCTACCTCTAGTTTGGTTGGAATGAAACATGAGTATGAGAATGTGGACCAGCTGGGCACAGTGGCTCATGCCTGTAATCCCAGCACTTTGGGAGGCCAAGGCGGGCGGATCACGAGGTCAGGAGTTTGAGACCAGCCTGATCAACATGGTGAAACCCTATCTACAAATATTAGCAAGGCGTGGTGGCGCACTGTAATCCCAGCTACTCAGTAGGCTGAGGCAGAAGAATCGCTTGAATTCGGGAGGCAGAATGTCTGCCTGGGCAACAGAGTGAGACTCCATATCAAAAAAAAAAAAAAAAAGGCCAGACATGGTGGCTCATGTCTGTAATTCCAGCACTTTGGGAGGCTGAGGTGGGTGGATCACAAAGTCAGGAGTTCAAGACCAGACTGGCCGATATGGTGAAACCCCAAATCTGAAAAACACAAAATTTAGCCGGGAGTGGTGGTGCATGCCTGTAGTCCCAGCTATTCCGGAGGCTGAGGCAGAAGAATCACTTCAACCTGGGAGGCAGAGGTTGCAGTGAGCCAAGATTGCACCACTGCACTCCAGCCTGGGCGACAGAGCTAGACTCCGTCTCAAAAAACAACAACAAAAAAGCAGACCATGTGGACCAATGAAGCGGTTGTAGGTAGGGGCTGCATGTTTTAAGTTGATGCTAGGCTTTCATGTAGTAAATGAATTTTTTTTTTAATTGCATTTTAGGTTTTGGGGTACACGTGGAGAACATGCAAGATTGTTGCATAGGTACACACATGGCAGTGTGATTTGCTGCCTTCCTCCCCTTCACCTATATCTGGCATTTCTCCCCATGCTATTTCTCCCCAACTCCCTACCCCACACTGTCCCTCCCCTAGTTCCCCCAACAGATCCCAGTGTGTGGTGCCCCCCTCCCTGTGTCCATGTGTTCTCAT